GGACTGCAGGGAGGGGGCAGAGCATGCACTGCTCTGGTCTCATCTGTAGTTTATTAGGTTCTAAAATATCTCTAAACAAGGGATCAGTTAGAAATGATCATCCCTCAGGGCTCATAGCCTGAACCCCACCTCTGAACTACGGCTAATCTGGACACTGCTCCTCTCTAATCAGACTTGAGTTGCCCAGTGGATAAAGAACCCACTGAGGCCAGGCATGTAGCTCAGTGGTAGGGTGCCTGCCTAGCATGTGCAAGGTACCTGGGTTCAATCCCTGGTACACACACACACACACACACGCTGATCTTTCCATTTGCAGGGATGTTGGAGAGACCATCCTTGCTATTGCAGAGAGCTATGGGGTGGGCAAGAACTGACTTCCTCATTTTGACATTCAGCAAGATGGAGGTGAAGGCTTGCCGGACCCTTGGGGAAGCTTTGGGAGTCAGCTCAGGGGCGCAACCCCTCCCTGCACACCAGGCTCCCTTCCTCCAACCTCCCCACACACCCTGGATGCTCTGCTCAGAATCACAGGCTGCTGCCAATTACAAAAGGACTCTTAACTCCGTTTTTGCAGCCCCTTGATTGATAGCACTGGTGAGTGAAATTATAAGCCTTAATGATCACGTTAATTTCTGGGGAAAGGGAAGCGGTCAGAAGAGGTTCTCAATCACAAGCGCCACAATCAGCTGGGTGAGTTCAATGACAGGCCAGAGCAGGCAAAGATGAGAAGAATTAACTTTTTAAAAGGTCACCAGAGAGTAGGGGGCAAGTTACTAGGTAAAAGGGATAAAGGGCACCAGTGATCCTGGAGCCTGAAGATACAGCCCTCTTTCCCAGGATGGGATCCAAGCCAGGTGTCAGTGCTTCTCATCTTTAGCTGTGCTGGACTCACTGGGGAGTTTTAAAAACACTGATGCAGGGCCACGGGTGCAGCTCGCTGGTAGAGCACATGGTTAGTATACACCAGGTTCAGGTTTAATCTCTCCCATCCTGCATCCAAAAACCCACGATGCCTGGGCTCCACCCTAGAGACACTGGAGTAATTGGTCTAGGAAGTGGGGTGGTGGTTAGCTAAGGCTGAGTATATTTAGAGATGTGCTTACTCTGATTAGTTCTTACTTCTGGTGGTGTGCCGGCCTCAAAGATGTTGATGAGATGTTCGAATGAGGGAGGGAAGTTAGGCAATGCCCAGGCCAGCATTCCTTCCTACAGATGAAACCCAGAGGGGCACTGAGGTTAATTGACTTGCCCAGGATCACACTGGTCATTCCAGACCCCCGGTCTCTTCACCCTGGCCAGAACTCTTTCCGCTGGGCCTGTGGCTGGAGAGAAGATGCCTTGGACTGGCCATTCGTGGCATAGGATCTGTGAGTTCACAACAGAGGAACCCAAGTCACTTGCCTGACTCTTGCTCAGTGATTGGCAGATACTAGAGACACCAGTGCTATGAAATAATAAAGTCCCTCTTGTTTGTCCGAAGAGCAAACCTACAACCTTGGCATCCCCAACACATTGGCCACTCACGATTTTCCAGTAAAGCATTTCAGCACTTTGGCACATCACAAAGAAGCCCAGGATATGTGGCAACATCCTGATTTCTTCACCGAAGACACTACCCCCTGCCACGCTGCTGACGAGCCCAGCTGACGGTGTGCAGCTACAAGTGCTGATGATTTTTCCTGACAGGCTCTGTGGAGGTCAGCAGAATGCAGAGAAAAGGGCTGCTGCGTGCTCCAAGATGAGTTAGTTCTACAAATTGTAAAACATCATAAAAGCACAGACAACGTGAGAATCCTCCATTGTCACTTTTGCTAATAGTACTAGTTATTTAGTTAGGAGAGATATTGTTTTCAGTTTCCAGAAGTGATTACACTGCCATATTTTAAAAGTTCTTGTATAGAACGAATAGCTGCCATCTTTTTTTTTTTTTCTTTCTTTTTTCAGTGCTGGGATTGAACACAGAAATCCAGGGCCTCGGGCACTGTACCACTGCACTATACCTGCACCCCAGCAGCTGAGATTCTTAGACTGCTTTAGCAGTACAAAGCATCAGCCAATCTACTACATTCTCCACCTTCACTGCAATTCAGATACTCCCAAAAGTTCACAGCGGTGTCCTGGGTTGAAAAATTGGGGGAACTAAGCTCTAACGATGGGTACAGGGTGAGACCTACTTAACTAGTCCACCAAGCATTGTAGCAGACACAGTCATAATAGAAACATATGCATTCTCTGTATTTTTCTAACAGCTTCTGAAGTGTTCATCAAGCCTGTGTCTGATTAAGCACTTTTAAATTCTGAGCAATGAAATGGGCCCTCTCATATCCTCTTGGCAGGAGTGCAAATTGATACAACCCTTTTGGAGAGCCATTTGGCTGTATCTATCAAAATTAAAAATGCATATAATCTTTGACCCAGAAATACCATTTCTAAGGATTTATCTTACAGAAATACTCCCACAAATCCACAAAAGTATACATGGGAAGTTAGTTCTTTGAAATTTAATTCATTATAGTGAAAAACTGCAAGTCACCCAAGTCTGTCAACAAATAATTAATTGGATAAACTATGGTGCATCCATAGAATGCAATACTAAACAGATAAGTTCAGTGAGAGCCTAAGTACTCATCAGGAGACAGACAGACACACACACACACACACACAAATAACCTGTAGAAAACTAGGTTTCCATTTTTATAAAAAGGGACTAGCAGGGCATGGTGGCAGATACCTGTTATCCCAGTACTCCGGAGAGTAAAGCAGGAGAACCACCATGAATTCGAGGCCATCCTGGGCTACATAGTGAGTTCAAGGCCAGCTTGTACTACATAGCAAGACCCTGTCTCCAAAAAAAAAAATTTAAGGGGGCTGAAGTTGTGGCTCGGTGGTAGAGCATTTGCCTAGCATGTGCAAGGTCCTGGGGTCATCCCCAGCACCACACACACACACACACACACACACACACACACACACGTGCGCACAAGGCATTCAAAAGCAGGTCTCTGGCCAATGGATTTAGTTCTTGCCTCCTAAATTTGATTAAAAACATTGAACTGTAAGTAAAATAATGTGAACATCTCAATTCAGTTCCTGAACACAGCTGTTCTCTCTTTCCTTGCATAAAAACCAAGTAAAAGTAATTCAAACACAAATGTAAGGCTTCGCACCATGCTACACGGTATGGATTCGAACTGCTGAAAAGCCACTCTCCCAGATTTAGAAAGCCTGTTTATCAAAGAAGCACTGCAGCTCTGACAATAGTAACTTCTCAGTGGGGCTCACCTTCTCTTACTTACATATTCAAATTGTGTATCTTGAATATGTGTATTCAGAGGCCACTGAAAGTACCTCCCTAAAAGCTACAAACAATATCCACCTTTAGGTCTTGGCAGGCAGGCAGCCAAGGAGTCCCACAGAAATCCCGAAATCCCAGGAGGGACTTCAACTGATTTTTAAATTCTGAGCCTTTTCAAAGGTTGAGAGGCAGATTTGATTCTTGTTTTCAACAGCAGAATGCCCAAAACAAAGACATTCCAGTGGGAATCAGTGTTCTGTGGCTTTCACAGCAATCTTATTCCTTTTTAATTTTATTGACACTCATAGATTATGCTTATACTGGATTTCATTACAGTTGGTGAATCTCTGCCCCTTGTCCCACCTCCAAAGAGAGCACTCCTGTTCTTAAGATTGGGTTTGGCTGTGTGTCTGGCCAGTGGAAAGTAAGCAGCTGAGGCCAGCTGTTGCTTTAAGCGTGTTTGCACGGGTTGGCTGGGCCTCTGGCATTTGTCTGCAGGCTGCCATGGGAAGAAGCTGCTTTGGGGAGGCTGCCGGTCCATAGTGAGGGATCTCTGGTGCACACTGAAACCCACAGGACCGGCTGGAGTCCAGCCCTGAAGAGCCACGGACGACTGACAGTCTCATGTGCAAGAAATAATTTGTTTCTGTAAGCTTTGGGGGTTGTTTGTTATCCTGTAGTATTCAGCCCATCACCCAACTTTCCAAATCTTTCCTTTGATCTCATAGGTGTTTCCGATTCTTTTTTTCTTATGAAATAAATCGTTATAGAAGTATTTGAAGGTTTTCTTGGTGCCCGTTAGCAATCCCATCTATTCCCACAGGTAACCACTATCATGAGTTAGTGTTTACCATAAATACTCATGCTTGTTTTAAGTGTTTGATGTGTGGATATACCTATAAGCATGATCTAGTATTTTTTCTGTAGGTGTACGACATAATAAAGGATAGCAAGCTGCACATGCCCTGGGCAATTCACTTACATTCTAATTGCATTCAGATTTTCCCAGTTTGAAACTCAGGCCCTAGCTATTTCCCTTAACAAATGTAACATCATCTACCACAATGTATCTCTTCTCTTCCAATGGACATTTAGGTGTTAAATATGAACAGGGCTGCCAGGAATATTCTTGTACACAAATATCTGAGTACCTCGAGGGCTTGTGTGTGAGTGTATGGTGGGGGCTGAACTCAAGGCCTGGTGCATGCCAGGCAGATGCTGTATCACAGCTGCATCTCCGGGACAACCTTGCTTTTCTCTGAGACAAACAGCCCTTTCTCTGTGGAAGCGGTAGCCAAGTGCATGGCTAGTTGACCTGCCACACGCACAGTCTTACACAAGAGCAGGGGTACCAGCAACTCTTGCTGGTGCTTCCTCTGCACTCTAGTGCTTTTGTACCCCTGATCACCACCAACCTCTGGTGGCAGGGCCGTGCCTGAGATTTTCTGGGAACATCTGGACTACCTTCCACATCTTACCAAGATTTTTTTTTTTTTGGTACTGGGGATCAAACTCGGGCCCTTGTGCTTGTGAGGCAGGTGGCAGAATCACTGAGCCAAATCCCTGGCCTTACACTTCATCTTTTTGATCATTCAGTGATTTAAAGTTCCTGGTCAGGACTGAAATTTTGGCAAGAGAATTAGAGGAGAGAGTGAAGACTTTTAATCGGTCTCTTTCTTCCTCACACAGCAATTTTTCTAACAGATGCAATTACATCGGAGAGCTGAAGAGAATTGAATCTTATGCTTTATTTCTTTATTCATCATTTTACAAATGGGATTCACTGTAAAAAGGAAATTGCCTTTGTAGTTCAGTTCTTTCGGTGCTGTGTTGGAGCTCAGCTGTCGCCACCACCTTTGGATCTGGCAAGCGAGAACCAGCCAGGGAGAGTGGTAAGGAAATCAGGCAGAATTTGTTTAAATTCAATATATTTTATTCTTTGTAAATACAATGAGTACAACCTTTTAACTTCACAAATCAGTTAATTCACTTTGTACAAGAAAAGTTTTACTCATCCTATGATAGTCCAAGTGCTGAATTTTCTTCCTCAGTGCTAGTACCTAAGAAATCAAAATGTGAAAAGTACAGCAGCTATTTAAAAATGTTTGTCTCTACATTTCCATTAAGTATCGATTCATACCAAAGGAGCAGCTGATAGCATGGGACGATTCACTCTGTGTGTGTGTGTGTGTGTGTGTGTGTGTGTGTGTGTGCACATTCAAGGCTTTACTAGAAACCAGAGTTTCCTGAAAGGCATTGAAGAGTCCCAGGCCATCAGCAATGGATCAATCATGAAAGCTTTCAGCATTCATCTCCTTGAAGTTCCTTCTGACACCATGTCTGTTTTTCCACTGCCTAGTGTGACCAGCTGAACCAGGAGTTTGGACCCACTGCCTCTGGTCTCTGTACCATGCTAGTGGACAGCATTCTGCCTCACTCAAAACCCATCTCCACTGTATTTGGTTTTGCTGTTTGTCCTCATCCTCTTTCAAATAGTGTTCTTTTAGTAAGGCTCTTCTATTTTTGAGATGTTATCCAACCTAAAGTCCCGCAGAGAATCTCAGTTTCATCCACCAATTCCTTTGACAAGGTTGCCTGGCCTGTGGTATTAAAAAAAGAAAGAGAAGGAAAAGGCAAAGAAAGAAAAAAAAAAAAAAAAAAAAAAAAAAGAGAAAGGAAGGTGGGGAAAAGAGAATAACAGCAAACCACACAGCATAAGCTACGTTCCACTTATTACCTTGGTTCGGAAGGCCACTTGATGTATTACAATAGAAGGGAAACTTTTGATAATACTTTTGATTTAAAACTTAACCATTATTTTAAAAATAAATGCTCCCACATAATGTATTTCTGAAGGCCGCAGTATGATGTTATACACAGAGCTATATTTGGTCACCCAACTTTATATGCTAAAAAGAAAAAGAAAGCATGACTTGTCTTTCAGCTTCTGATGGCTCTCCCGGATCTTCCAGGTCAGAGGCAGAGTGGCTTGGCCTGTGGCGTCCCCCAGTTTGTCCCCTCCTGGGCTCTGCAGCCATGACTTCACTGTCAGGTGGTCCCACTGTGTTCCCTTTCTTCCAGGCTGCTCTACCAGCTTGAGACAGCGGATCATAGCTACTAGAATTGTTTTGTATTAACTGGCATTTTTCCTGAAGGCTACACAATTTATGCTTCCTGAAGGGTGTGTTAGTTGAGCTTGTTCTCCACAGGTAGAAGTTCATCTGATACTGTCCCATCCTGAAAAGCCGGTACTATGAGAGCTTAGATATCACTGGATTTGTACATGTCTGAAAGCAGTCTTGTAATTGGCACATTGCCGATGGTTTTTTTGAAAAACACTTCTTCTATTGTTGATGGGCTGATAGAACGTAAAGCTGGCAAGAGCAGCAGGAGTTTTCCAAAGCGGCAAGGTTGAGTGGGATATCTGGAATGTCAGAAGCCATGAAAGCCACGTCAGAGCCCAGTATGAATGGGAATTAATAGCTTATTCTTGAACACACATCATCTCCAATGCAGTTTCCTGATTTAGGCTCCTTAAATAACACACTACCCTATAGAGTAGTCTGAATAGGTAGCATCATCCCTGTTGGGCAGGTAGAACACTTGAGGCACAGAGAATGCCCAAATCAGACAGTGGCTATCTCTACATCAACAAAGGGATTGTATTTTATTTGGAGGAAAAAAAAACCACAGTTTTCAGAAACATGACCAGGTCCAGGTAGGGTGACATATCCTTGTAATCCCAGCACTCTGGGGATGGTGAGGCAGAAGGATTGTAAATTCAAACCAAGCCTGGACAATTTAGTGATTTAGTACAATCCTGTCTAAAAAGAGAATAAAAAATAAAGGGCTGGGGATATATATAGCTCAGTGAGAAAGCCCTGGGTTCAATCCCAAATGAAGAAGAAGAAGGAAAAAGAAGAGGAAGAGGAGGCAGAGGAGAAGGAGGAGGAGAAAATAGAAAGAAAAGGGGGAAAGGGGGAAGAAGAGGGAGGAGGAGAAAAGCAGCATGATCATCTTGAGCAACTTAGCAACTTAGTGAGACTTTGTCTCAAAAATAAAAAATAAAAGAAGGGCTAGAGATGTAGGTCAGCAGGAAGGCCATGAGTTCAATCTCCAGTAGAGAGAGAGAGAAAGAGGGGGAGAGGGAGAGGAAGAGAAGAAAGATGAAGCTAGAAACTAAATTTTAGGCCAAAAAATAAACCTGAGTTTGCCATTGTAGAAAATGACCACAATGCCAATGATAAAGCTAGCAGTTGAATCCACATTTTCTAATTTTCAAAGATCCTTCACAAAACTATTTCCCTTAAATTAAAATGGCTTCTTTTTCTAAGCAATTCTCCAAATTATTATTCAGGCATTATACTTAGTCACTCTCAAGCATAATTCTATCCTTATTACACTGCAAATTAAAGACTAAGTTCTGTTGGGTGGCAATGCCACCCAACTTTCATGTCAGTGAAATTGGCACATAATTAAAGATGTGAGAAATTGCTTAACAGTTCCCTCTCTTGATGTGCAACATGCACTCAGATGTGAAAGTTCAATTTTCTGATGTCCTTAGATGCCTATAAGGCACCTCCTACTGCAGTCCATCACTTCTTTCACCAATAGCTTGCAAACAGGATCAATGTGCTCCACAAGGGGGGCTCCCTCCCTGAAACAAACCATGTGAAACACTGAGCTTCGGGACATGTGCGTGTGACTAACCACACTCAACATAGATCACAGGGTGCTGGTAATCGAGAGACACCAAAATTCCTTCAAAGAAGTCTGGTAGCTGTGTCTAAGTGTCCCATGATGCCACCCTACTGCAAGAGTCCATGAGAGACAGACACTTTTCCGCTTTGAGGACAAGAGAGTCCCTCTTTTTAACCAGAGATGAGGCTAGTAAATCTGCCAGCCTCACCTGGTTCCTACACTGCCCAGCTTCATGACCACCCATGGACAGGGGCCTCATTTAATAATGTGCTATGCAAACAGCGAAACTTGTCTAGGTTTAAAACAAAACCAAACCTAAAGCCCACTACTTCCTCTCCTTGAATGTATCTCATGTCTGCCCTTTACTTGGACCACTTCTCTGCAGCAGATTTGCTCTTCCCCTCGTGGAATCAGACAGAGAAGAGATAACCCCGCAGAGAGTAGTGGGCAGCAGCTGCCTAGACAAGCTCTGCCAGGTCTGCAGCACCCACCCAACTTGCTGACCATTTCCCACAGTTAAGAAATCACTGTGGGGGCCGGGGGTTTAGCTCAATGTTTCGGGCACCTGTCTCACAAGCGCAAGGTCCTGAGTTCGATCCCCGGTACCAAAAAAAAAAAAAAAAAAAAAAAAAGAAAAAAAAAAAACCACTCTGGGAAAAATTACTAGCAGAAGTCACGGATTTGGGAGAATCCACAGACAATTAACTTGGGTGTAGGTGTGTGCATGTATGCGTATTGCTGGGGGTTGAACGCACAGCCTTCTACCATTTAACTATACACCCCAGCCTGGAAATTAACTGTGATTCTCTGTAAATACATTTTCCACTCCCCTGCTCATCCACTTCCTTTATTCTCTAGTTGGGAAAGAGCTTGTTAGTCAGTCAAAAAGAATTAGCTGTCTGTTATATGTGGAGTAATGCACTACCCAGAAACAATAACCCCTGTGTGTGCATGGAGAAGGGAGAGGAGAGAAGACAGGAGAGAGACAATACTCCTGACTCCTGCCACTGGCAAAAATAGAAGTATCTTTTCAGCATTGCGTTTTGTGTCTATTACAGATTCACGTATGTGTTTGACCTTCATTTATAGCATTCATGTTGAAGGCCAAGTACTAGCCTTCTCCTTAGGTCTAGATAGGGCATAGAATCATGACAGTTAGCTTAGTTTGCATGCTAACTTTTCATTTTACTCTGAGCTAAGAAATAAAGCACCTGGATGACTCTAGATATTAATATGGATTTGTAGCTATAGCCGATGTCATGAAATAATAACTCCATGACAAAGCAGATGTTTTCCTTCCACAGATGAAATTTCTTTGTTTTGTGGGTGAAGAAGAGGTAGTGCACTCATCATTTCTCTAAACCAGACTGTTGGTCCCCTGTGGTGGAATGCTCCAGGCCACTCCCCTGGCTCCCCTATCCAGCGACCCTACAGTTCCTCCAACCAGCTCCTCCGCTGGCTCTCACTGCACGCCCTCTTCCCTGCTAAAATCCTCCCACCATTCCAGTACCAACTCAAGTGGTCATCTCCACTCATCCTGCTTTCTGGATCTTCCCTTCCAGTTAGAACTCACCCCTCCGCCCCACACACACTTTGCTCTTCTCTCCCACCTGCTCTGTTTGAAGTAACATTTGTGCCCACTTCACACAATGAGAAGGGAAATTCTTTGTTCTTCCTGGTGTCCCACACAGGGCAAATACTCAGCAAAGGCTGGACAGAACCAATAAGGAATATCATATTCTCAGGTGGTTTTTTTTTTTGGTTCCGGGGATCAAACTCAGACCCTTGTGCTTACGAGGCAGGCAGTGGAACCACTGAGCCAAATCCCGGCTCTCAGGTGTTCTTAACATCCTGATAGCTGTAGATGTCAAAGGTCAAGTATGAGGTACAAGTCAGTTTCCAGTGGGAGAAAAGTACCCAAATCATGCACTGCTCCATTTTGTGATCTTGAACAAACATTAACTGCCTAATGGACTCAATGTGGATTTAAAATTTTAAACCAGGACACTTCACTTTGGAAAAACATACACATATGCACTATTACTCATCACAGTTTTAATGATATCCTGTGGATAGGGAATACTGATTCACTTAGCATTCAAAAGAGAACTTATGATAGAATCAATTAGATCCTAGCAGAAGTGGTATCACCCCAAGTGGAGATAGTCAACTTGGGATTTTTCAGACCTTTTAGGGGAGGAGGTATCCATGCCCTCTGCCCATCTGATGGAGCATTGCCATCAGTGTCTACAGCTGATGTTGAGAAGATGGAGAGGTTAGTCTTGAGAATAAACAACAATAATTCTATTCTACCCAGATCTACCACCTTGCTAACTTAGGAAGTTACAGAGGTTCCATTTCTTTCAAAATCCTGGCTCTGTTGCATCTGAAAATGGAATCAGAATGTCTACACCTTTTGGAGAGCTTGCTCAGTGCTGAGTCAGCCGAGCTTTGCTCCTGCTTTTGGGGAGCTTCTACAGACAGCCACAGACAGCCTCTGCCAGGGCTCCGGTGGGGCCAGAAGTAAGTTGGTGGATGCTATGACTTGGAATTACTCAAGGGACACCAATCACCACAGCCAAAACCCTATTCACCAAGGATAGGGGTCAAGATGGCTGCTCTAGAGAGTTCCTTGGTCCTTCTATTTGGAATTGACATCTGGAGAATGGCAACTGTCTTTTTTCAAAGGTGACGCAACCATTCTCTAATATATTAACCACAACATTTTCGCCTCCATTTCTGACCCTTCCCAAATGCACTCACACAAACGTGTTCCACTACTTTGGTTGATCAACTTGTTCAGGCAGGACGGCTGTGGAGTGTCTGACAAAGCTTTCAGTTTGATCACCTAATTTGATTTGCTTCTCTCACCCACTGTGATAGGTGAGGATAGAGTCTAACTAAATAAACTGATTAGCAATGGGATAATTAGTCACAGTGTTTCAACTGGCTTATTACTGCCTGCTCATGCATTCACAATGGAAGCCATTTTCTTAAGTACATGTTTGAGGCAAACAAGGGTCACCTGGTATGGATGTAGCTGTTGAGCGTTAGCTGAGCCTCATCTTGAAGAGCTGCAATGGCGGCAGCATTCCGGAAGCTTCTCAATTCAGAACCACTGTGTGTGGGCACTAGAAATGAAGATGGGGAAACTGTAGCAGGGAGCATAGGAAACGTGGTGGGAACATGCCACTCTCGAAGTGGATGCCCACCGGCACCAGCAGAACACACACGTCCCCCCACAGCCATGGAAGGAGGGGTCAGCCTCTGAGAATCAGCTTCCCTCAAAAGAGCACCTCTTTTTGCAAAGGTCAATCTAGACCTCGGGGTACCTGAGTTTAATGAGGTGGCCAACTAAAGAATGACAAGGGACAGGAGTCTGCATGGGCTTACCAGCTTTGAAAGTGACGATGCATTTCAGACAGGCAAATTCAGTAGCATCTAACCGGAGCTGTCTAAACCGAGCTACCACCTCTTGTAAAGCCTGAATTTCAGATATGATCTTGTTCAGCTTCTGGGAATCTGTGTTGTCACCATTCATGCCTAGAATAAAAATATGAGCTAAATACTCTAATATGAAGGCATTTTTACGATTTAATATTGATTTTTGACAAAATACTGCATATCAATATTCAATTGTCACTCTAAGATATCTGATTCCATGTAAACTGGCTATATTGTATGAAAGTTAATATAAAATCTTCTCTTGGATGATAACAAACACAGTAATTTGCATTTAAATAACAATGCAAGCAGTCATGAATACAACAAAACAACATTATTTGCATTTAAATATAGATTTATAAATGACAGGTATACTCTATTGTTCAGCAGGGATTTGTTATTCTTTACATGTTGTTCTTTTTTCAGTAATGTATTTTTATGGTAATTTCTACAACAAAGTCATTAAATTGTGCAATTCTTACCAGATACAGCCAGTAGAGTGTTAGCATCAACCGGAATGGCCCATTGTGCTATTCCTAGAACAAACAGTTCTCTCCAAGCATCTTCCAAAAGCATCAGCTGTCATACAATAGATGTATAATATAATATAGTGTGTAATTTATAAATTTATAAACAATTTCAATATGTAAATTTCATTATTTAAAAAAGTGCTTTAAATGTCTGTCTTGGTAAATTTTTTTTTAATATTTTAGCTTTCCCTTATTTCCCATATTTTCCTTTTTTAAAAAGTGCCTATAGCTATTCACATGCATTGGAGAGTCAGCCATTCCAATTCCTCAATGTTTGATTCTCTCTGAAAAGGATCTATCCTTCTTGTCCTTGCACCCACCCATTTCTGACCACCTGAAATTTGTCTGGAGATCAGGCTCTGTGAAATATCACCAGCAGCTCAGCAGGTGGACTACTCTGGTACAGAATGCTGATACTGTCAGGGGGTAAGGATTACTGATTATGACTAAGCTTGCAGGTCTGAAGGGCCAAGGGAGCTGGGCAGGGAGACAGAAAGAGAGAGAGAGGGAGAGAGAGAGAAAAAAATCACTAATTCCCAAGAGGCATGGGGAAAATCAGGGTATAATTATGTTAATCGGGTTTTACTGAGTTTACCTCATTTCACTGCCTGATTTTTCTGAGACTCATAAGTGGACAGCATCAAGGTGCTTGTCATTTTCATTCTAATAAAATATGCTATTGAATATTTAAATGAAAACCTCTCCTTTTCCAAATTAATATACTGGATTCCACTTCACTGCAGTTTGCTTATTGCCAAAGGGTTTCTACCAAAGGGCTAAGTGGCAGGCAGAAAGCAAATTTTGTTTGGATTAAAGAACACAAATACTTGCTTGAGAAAAAAGAATAGCCAATTTACACACACACTCACGCCCGCACAAAGCAAATGCTAGAGCTGACCAGTAACACCTGGTCAAAGACAGGATCTAAAAATCTTGAAAATCTAATCTCTCTTTTTATTGTATTTATTTTTTATTTTTATTTTTTGGTACCGGGGATTGAACTCCGGTCCTTGCGCTTGCAAGGCAGGCCACCAAACCACTGAGCTAAATCCCCGGCTCTTAATCTCACTTAAAAAAAAAAAAAAAACTCTCAAAACCCAACCAGTTCTCAATGACGTAAATGAAAGAATTTCCTAAAATCATGAAAGCTTGTGACAAAAATCACAATTAAACCAAAATATTTAATTTGCAAGATAGTTTTATTTTATTGCATTAAGTAAGTACAAGAAATTATTATTTTAGTGTAAAAGTTAAACAATATCTAATTCTGGCTGTTTTGTGCTAGAAAATTAAATGTTTTAGCACATTGCCAAGTCTTAAAAAAAAAAAAACTTCACATTAAACAGCACTGTTACACATCGCTCTTAAAACTATTTATTAGGAGTTGGAGTGTAGTTCAATTGTAGAACACTTGCCTACCATGTGCTAGACCCTGGGTTTGATCCCCAGCACAAGGGATGGTGAGAACACAACAACTACTTAGCTTTTTGGGAGCTCTGTCACTAATTTCCTTGAAGACAGTAGTAACAGCCAATGGTTGTGAAAGTTTCATTTTCTATTTCTCTCTTACTGGTTAGAAATATGCTGGTGGGAACTATTTTTTACATTCCCAGCAACATAATTTCTTCATTTTCATATAAAGTAATTTATAGCTGCACACAATTTTCTCTCTGGATGTCATTTATGACCACAGAATTACACAAAATGCCTATTTATTTATGAAATCTCTAAAGGCATTAGAACCACAAAATATCCCAACTTGCAGGAGGTGTACAATGCACACTTTGATGCTACATGTTAATAAATCAATGGCCAAAACTGTATAATGATGAATGATTTAATCTAAAAATATAAAATAATGAGACTAGTTTCAAAACTCTCATGAGAGACTTCTTTTACCACCTGCAATTTCTCAGTTTCAATGTTCCTAAGAAAGCATACTTTTATCACCAGCTTGAGAAAGGAAAAGGATTAAGATTTTAAAATTTGAGATTAAATTTGATATTTCAATTAAACTAAAAAAGCCATAATATTCTCATCCATGTGTTTTTCATAGACCAGATCCAGCCTTTTTGTTTTGTTTTGGTACAGGAGATCGAACTTGGGTCCTTGTGCTTGCAAGGTAGGCGGTGGCACCACTGAGCTAAATCCCCAGCCCCAGATGCAGCCTTTTTGAAATAACATAATTACATTTCTTACTAATGGTTCTATAGGTAGATATTTTTAAACTATAGAAAGATGCTGGTAAAAATAGTTTCCTCTTTGCTGTTAAGAAAGCATATTTGCCTTAGTGATCTATCCACATAATGTCAAGTTTTCTAAGATTGAATGCTTATAGGATTGAACTGCTTTGCCCCCAATCTCCTTACTCAAAAGGCCTTTATGCCCTGCTGGTCATACCTGGTCTTGCAGAGACAGTGTGGAAAAGGCTGGCACACTCTTGGCCCACTTGATGCTCATAAAAAGGAGCCTGGCAGCTGACTCACATACAGACTCTGTGGCCACTTCATATAGATACATCGGGGTCCCATTCACTTCGTGGGGGTACTGGGAGAGAAAGAAAAAAGAGATGCCTGGATGTGAGGAAAACACAGCGTTGCAAGAAGAGCCAAATTTTATTTTCTAATTAAAGCAGGGCAGGGGATGAAAAGGAACCTGGGTGTTCTATTTAATGTATAAGTTGCCATAGGTGGGTTAAAAAAAATCATTTGTATCTATTGAGTTTGGGGAATGATGCTTCTTGGGGAAGTCACATTTCCACTCACGAGGGGCCTCTCCCTTCCAGAAGGGAGTCTGGCTTTTCTTTCCCCTGCATCAAATTTTCCTTGGACTCAGCCAAGTGCCAGGCCTGGCTCCCAATTTAGACAAGAGCTGCTTGCATTTGTGTAAATAAAAATAGATGTGAAAAAAGTATAAATTAATAGGCATCCCAAATACAAATATGCATATGAGTATTTTTAGAAAGGATTAGTATATTATGGAAATATTTCAATTAGACATCTTAATCATTCACAGAGCATTCCCATTCATAACTGACAACATATTCATAACACTACTTTCCCAAGCTTATTATACACATCAAGGGTAAGAAAGCAATATTAAATATTGTGCGTGTGTGTGTGTGTGTGCCCAGGTGTTTGGCTTCCCCGCAGTGTGGGGCTGCAGCTGGCCCTCCTCTGGGGGAATCCTAGGCCCTTCTCCCCCAGGCCTGGGAGCCCTGGGAGGTGTCAGCTGAAGCCCTCAGGGAAGTCCCTAAGTGGCAGGTTTCTAGGTGGGTTTCCTAGGGGCTCAATCTTAGTGCAAAGATGTGTGGTTTACAAGAGAATAAGAGGTCCATGTAAAATGAAGTCAGATCCTAACAGGGTTAGGATAGTTTGCAGAATTCTTGCTTTTCTTGGGGACCCATTCCTTTGCCCAAGGTAACAGATCCCAGAAGAGTTCCAACTCAGGGCTCCTTCCTCCAGCTGGAGCCAAATACTTTGTTTGAAACAAATGTCTGATAACATTAATTAAAAATAATAAAACAAAGTCTCTCCCCCCCCTCTGGGAACCCCCAAAGCTGCTCTCTGTGTGTAGACAGGACTCCACCCACAGCCAAGCAGCACATTAGGCTTTCCTAGAGGTGCAGGTTTCTGGCTTCCACCCCAAACTTTCAGACAAAGGGGGATGGATGTGTTTGGGGTCTATCTCTGTAGTCACTCAGAGGGTGACTGAACCGTGCAGGAAAGTCTGAGCGCATCTGCTTCAGCCCAGCCGGAGGGTAGAAGGCCAAGCTGAGTACCCGCTAAGGCCCTCGCTGTTCCCCTGACCGGATCAAAGCGCAGAACTGGGTGTGCTCTGCTGCCTCTGCTCCCTCGGCAGGAACCTCTGGGCCCAGCAAGGCCACTGACCTTGGGCGTGGGCTGAGCCAGGCTCACGAGGGTCTGCCGCTCCGGGGTGGCGGACACCGCGGCGAGCTCCAGACCGTGCGGCTCCAGCTGAGTGACCGCAGTGAAGAAGGCCGGGGCGGGCAGCGCCGCGGAGGGGAAGTGCGCGGCAGCCCCGTTGTCCTCCTTGTGTCCGCGGAAGTAGAGGGCCACCTGTTTGCGAATGGTGGACGTCCGAGGCCCCCGCTCGTGCTGCACGGCTGCGGAGACAAAGACACGAACACACGTTCCTCTCAGAGACTCCACCTCCTGCCACATCTGGGTAGGCGAGGTCACCGGAGAGGTCAAAATACGGAGGGACATGGCGCAAGGCGCTCTGAGTGACTTTCAGTCCTGCACTGTGTGCACGTGCACGAGGGGGTTGAGCCCCACAGCAGCCTAGGCCTAAAGGGTCACAGTGGGGTCCAGCCTCGGACAAGACAAGGTGCATCCTTGTCCCTTCAGGGCTCCTCCCTGCCCAGGGGTCACAGGGAAGCCAGGAACCCTCAGGGCCAAAGTAGCCAACGGTCCTCAACACACAAGTTCCCCGACAGACGTTTCCAGTCCCCCACTGCAGACTCTCCCACAGAAGTGGCTTCCGCCTCCAAGGCCCCAGGAGAAAAGGACCCTAACCGGATCGCTGGGAGATGGGAAAAGGAAGAGCCTGTCTTTGTCTTCAGGGTATGCTGGAGAAAGGCAGGGGAGATGTAACAATTACCACCAACAGTTTAAACAAACAAATTAAATCAGGGCACTCTTCCCGCCACTGGAGCCTGATGACTTGTCAGTACACAAGTTCAACAGGTTGAACGTCCCCTCTGCTTCCTGGGCGGCAGAGGAAGGAGCTCTCAAGGACAGGACAGGACAGTTCAGGAGCAGAACCTCACAGCTGCCACCCAGGCTCCACTGTCCTGCACAGACCTGGAGGCGCCCTCACCAGGCTGTGCTGGGATGGAGCTGGGTCTGTGCTCCAGGCCCAGGAAGAAGCATCCTGAAGCCCAGCTGTTTCACCTTCGTTGGATACTCAGGGGAACTGGGCGTGGGATGCACCCCTGAGCAGTCACCTGCCTCTCCAACCGCTTTTCTCTTTTCTGCAGAGCTAGAAAAAGGCTCTGGAAAAGCCAAGACCCACCCAGTGGCCATACTGATTTTGGCATCTTTGCAAACTAATGTGAAATTTCACGTCTCTATTCTCTTGCCTCCAACCCTCATGACTTCCTCCGAGGGAGACTACACAGACCGAGAGATCCTGGGGGAGGCTGGCAGGCTCAGGAGTGGCCACAAAGGCCTGCAAAAAGCTTAGAGAAGAGTATGAGAATCAGAGGCTGAAAGTACTGCGGGCTCCTCCTCCCCCAGCACTGCCTTCCTGAGGCAGTTTGCGGCACCGGTTTCCAATGTGGGCATGGGCTTGTCTAGGAGTTCAGTGGGGTCGGCTGGGGACTCTTGCACAGAGGCCAATTTCCAGCATCTGGAAAGAAATGTTCTGTTTGGAAGATGATTTACATGCATAAGAGTGTTATGTATTTTCTGTACATATAATTTACTTACTACTCAATCAACATTACAAGAATAAAGGGATGTACTGATTACCATCTTTGTTCATGTTGACTTCCAAACACTTCTTCAGCCGACACGCCCGGCACTGGTTTCTGTGCGTCTTGTCTACCGGGCAGCCACCCTGCAACAGAGCAAAGTGGCCCCCAGCACCCTTAGGTGGGACCCAGAAGTCGGCTCCCCAGCGAGAGAAATGGCATGGGGACCCCAGAGCAGCAAGTTGGGGCCACTGACCCGTGAGAGCCTTGGGAAAGAGCAGGGTCAGGTAGAAAAAGGGCTGGGATTCCCGCGACCCTATGGACTTGGACAAGGAGGAAAAGGCCCCTCTCCCAACAGGTGAACAATCAGAGCGCCGGCTTGCCAGATCCGCCAGTGCTTAAAGGAGCCGCTCTCCATGGGAACTTCCGGTGGCTACGAAGGGGTGGAGCAGGGACCAGACTTTTCAGGACCGAAGACAGCGACCTGTGCCAGATCTCTGGGAGGAGCAGGCTTTCAGGTCAAGACCCATGCCTCCTCTCCCCACTGCCAAATATTCTTTCTGCTTTCAGGTCTCGGGTCTACCTCTTTCTGCCTTGTTTTAGGTGAGCCTATTCATCTAACAGACAAATCTCTCCCACTTACTCTTCACTTTTCTGATACCTTAACTTTGCTTTTGCACTGTAAGCCATTCTTAAAATCAGCAGGTTGAGAAAACTCTTAAGTCTTTAAAACCAGCCTCACCCATATTCATAGAGACACAGTTATTCCCTGAAAGTCTGCAGAAGCTAGAGTGGTCAAGGCTTATACAGGGTGAGAATGTGAAGGAGAGACACCAAGGTCTGGGGGAATCTAGAAAAATCTAGATTCCACTGTACAAATATGCCCAGGAAGATATGATGGGCTGTCCGACACAATGATAATATGGGCTGAGAATATTAGCATGATAACTGATAAAAAGGCAGTCAAAGCTTTAGAAATATTTATCTGACATGAAGAAGAAAATAATGCAATTTTCTGAAGTAGTGTTGACAATTAAAAGGGAAAATTTACAGATAGTTTCTTTGGGGATTTATATGGTGTTTGGTGTTGCAGAGGAACACACATGTAGACAATCATATGTGCATAAGCGCATAAGCTTTTAAAAAAAATAGTACTGGGGGTTGCCAGATAAGTGCTCTACCACTGAGCTACTTCTCCAACTCTGTGCATAGGTATTTTAAAATAAGGTTTCACATTTATTAAAGACAGGAAAAGCCCAAGTGTGGTGGTAAATGCCTGTAATCCCAAGGTGAGGCAGGAGGATTGCCATGAGTTCCAGGCCAGCCTGGCTACATAGTGAATTCAAGGACAGTCTGAACTACATAGTCAGATCATGTTTCAAAAATAAATAAATAAAATAGGAAAAATAATAAAATAAAATAGGAAAAGAAACAGGCTGTGCAGAGTAAATCTAGGTCAAGTAAAAGTAGGAAAAGAAGTACACCATAGAGGAGAGGGCAGTGAGAGAACACAGTAGCCATAAGTATTTTATATACCAAAAATGTCAAAGAATTTTGGTGCTTTCCTTTGTTTGTATAAGTTGCCATTGTTACATTTGCAGTAAGAAAGAAGACAATAAAATACTGCACATTTCTTTTGTTTCTGAATCTCAAAAATGCATATACTTTGAGTTAGAATGGGTAATTTTCCCCCAGAGATGTTCCATAAGGAAAATCACACACTGGGCTGCATGGGTTTCTATGATCACACTCTTCCAGTTAAAAATATGTCAACTTGACCAGGGTTGTAGCTAAGTGGTAGAGCACAAACATGCATATTCAGCATGCAAGAGGCCCTGAGTTCAATTCCCAGCAAAAAATCAAAGCAAATAACAATTTAGAAAGTTTACCTGCTTAAAAGAAAGGTGAGACAGGTGTTCACAAAGTGCCTAAATGTTTGAGTTATTGTTAATGGTCAACTGAATATTATTCACCTAGTCTTGGAACAAAACAATTTTTATTTCCCAAGACGATTCCTCAGGCATCTTTGGTCAGTAAAATAACTTAAAGATGTCTGAAGAGTTTACTAAATGTAATCAAGCACCTATCCTGGAATGGTATGAACAAAATGCAAATGGAAGCCTCCATTCATTCCTAAGTGTGTCTTCAGATCAGATCAATTGTATATAAATATCTGGAGTGTAAGAGAAGGACCTCAACTCAACCTCCTGATTCTCTAGGAGAAGAGCACTAGGCATGATGATCTATCATCATTTCTTTACAAGTATTTGGACTGATATCAATGTTTGGATTGATAGCATTTGCATGCAGGAGGCCCTGGGTTCCATCCCCAACACTGAAAAAGGAAAAAAATAAAGCCTGACACCTCACATTAATCCCAACCCTGTGGGAATCCTGGAGAATGGCCCTATGTGTGTACATGACCTGATGTATCTACAGGATGAAGCTAGAGACTGACACAGATCTGAGTACCCAGTTGAACAGGTAACACAGAGATGGAGAACTCAAAATCACATATTCAAATGCAAAGATCTTCTTATATTTGGTGGCAAATATAAATCTTTCAGAAATTGAAGTCAGAATAATCCATTAGCACCAGACTCTGTATGTGCGTGTTTATGTGTTTCATATGTATTCATTAGTGAAAACTTTTTATTGTTTGGTTACCAAAGGAGGACTCTTGACTGATGCATCTCAGTGATCTTCCCAGGGTTGAAAGTGGAGGCTTCTATACCGAGGGTCTGTGTACCTGGCTGAGGGTACAGCAGAGTATGGGACCAGAAGGTTGATCTTTTGGGTTGAAGTTAGTCTGTTGCTGAGGGGAAAACTGAGCCAGTCAAGGTTCTCCTCACTCTATCTGGACTTTGTTACATCCTGATGCACCTGTTCTTTTGAGACAATTCTGTTTGTTCAAGACCAAAACACAATCCACCAGTACATTTTCTAAGCAGAGAAGGAAGAAGTAGATGTGGAAACTTGGAGAGAGCTGGATTTGCATTCTCCCTTGAGCCTTCTCTTCTTCGTCCTTCTCTTTTCTGACAAGGCCCAGCTAAAGTTAAACAGGTACTGAAGTCCCATGGCCCACTTATACAGCAGCCCTGCTTCTGGGGAGTTGTAAGAGCACAGCTTCTTGCAGATCATGGCCTCTGTCTTCCCTGGCTCACTTTGGGGTCTCAGCTACCTGTAGGTATGACCTTGAGTCTGTCCCTGTGCCCTTCACTTTTGCCTTCCCAGGCAGTGGTCAGAAGAATGAGCTTGGGTGCTGCTGGGGATGGGGGTGGGATGAGCTCACTGCTATGTAACTTGTGGTTGAGATTCTAAAGCACTTCAGGTGCCCTGGGATGGCTCTATAACCACCAGGGTTGGGCCCCACCACTGTGGGAATGTCAGAAGATTAAAAAAAAAAGTGTAGAAAGGCCAGGGGATTTTAGACATCTTTCTCATCTATCTTCCCTTCCCTTATCCGGCCCTTCCAGAGCCAAAGGACCTCCCAGAGTGGAGGGTGGAAGGAGAGGAGAGCAAAGGAAAGGTCGGGGGCTAGGCCTCTCCTTAGAGGAGGCCTTGGCCTAAAGGAGGAGGAGGCAGGGGAAGGAGACCGGGCAACGCAGCCCTGGCTAAGGTACCTGGTTTCCAGACTTGCAGACATATGTCCGATTCCTTCGGATGCTCCGCTTGAAAAACCCCGAGCAGCCGTCGCAAGCGTAGACCCCGTAGTGCTTCCCAGAGCTGCGGTCGCCACACACTTTGCAGGGGATATCTAAAATGCGGCCTGAGAAGGCCAGAAAGACCGGGAAGGGGGAAGGGGGAAGGGGCCAGAGGGAGAAGAGGGCGGGGAAGAGGGAGGAAAGGGGAGAGGGAGAGAGATGCTAAGCAATCTGACCTCTGAAGGGATTAGCATCGAAGCTGCGGTAAAAGCAAATAATGAAGTGATTTTATAGCCAAACTTTTTTTCCTTGAGCAAGTGTCAGTTTCCTACAATGAGCATTATTCATGCACCGCTACATGTATTTGGGTCTCCTCTAATCGCCGAGACCCATTTTGGAATAAAAGATTACAGCAGGCCCAGGCGGCAGCACAGCCCGCCACTGCCTTTCTGCTCCTCGGAAAGTTTGGCTACCTCTCTCCTCAGCTCTTACATTTAACAGAGAAAGTTGTTAGCGCGCGAGGAGACAAACTTGAAATGTAAAAGGGAAAAGAAGAAAAACAAACAAGGCTAGAACCTGGGATGGCAGCTGGAAGGCAATCGAGTTTTCTCTGAGCTCTGCCGGGCGGTTGTTATTATTAGGATTATTATTGTGATGCTAATACTCAGATTATTAATGATAATCAGGATAGTGGTAATTGCTCAACTTTTTCTTCACCTATTTAAAAAATGCTTGGTGGATGGCTTTGGAGAAATTTTTTCATTGAGGAAAAATTCTCTCGGTAAAATGGCCCTGCTCTGGTCAAGGAGAGGCGAGAGAGCAGATTGCAGCATCCCTGCCCGACTGCCCTCGGACAGCTACTTTGCTCCCTCCGCTCCCCAAACCCTTTCTCCCTGAAACCCTGGCCTCCTGTGGCTTGCTTCTGTGTAGTGTTCCTCCAGTTTTTCTGTCCTGGTGGAAGCTGATTTTTAAAAATACTCTAATTTCTCTAGGCTGTTTCTTTCACCCTCACTGGACTCGGGTTCAAGAGAACTTTCTTTGGAATCCCCAGAAGCCTGGGGTGGCTGGGGCCCCTGGAGGAATATGTAGGTTGAGGGTAATATCCGAAAATTCAAGGGAGGAATTATTTTTCTCTGTGGTTCAAGGATCCACAAAGTACCTGAGGCAGTTTATAGGGACTTAGAAATCCTTTCTAAAGCAAAAACAAAGAAAAAGTGTCAGCATTTTAATAAAACTCAGTTAATAACAATTAACTTACTAACCCTTAATTTTCCCATCCAAGGGCCTCCAGTTCGGGCCCAGGGGGCCTTAGGCCTGGCGGAAACAAGACAGCTGCCCTGGGAGCCTTAGGCTGGAGTAGGGAGAGCCTGGAGAGGGCCCCAGAGGAGGTGAGGGCGCGGCTGAGGAGGGCCCACGGGCAGGAGGTGCAACCACGCTCCCGGACTCCGCAGCTTTGGGGGTAGGCTATCACCCGGCCGGCTTCGGCCTCAGGTGGAAGGGGAGCGCGGGCATCCGGCTGGCCCGCTCGTGGGGGGGTGGTAACGACCAGGCTCAGTTGGGGTAATTACAACCCCGCCGGCAGCACCTGCCTATAGAACCACCAGTGACCCGTCAAAAAGAGTAGCATGGGAATTCGGAGGGCAACAAAGGCCGGCGGGGGAGGCGCTCGGAGGAGCAAGGGCTGTGGCCTGGGCACCCCTTCTCCCGCAGGGCGAGAGGGGTGGTTGTGCTGGGGGAGGGAGGGGCCCGGAGAGCTAAGTGAGGCCGCAGCCGGTCTTGCCCTCCAGCCCCTCGGGCTTGTCACTGTGCAGAAAAGAACTCACAGACACCCAGAGACCTGAATCGGGAGTTCTGTTGCACCGCACTCACTCTGGAAGCAGAGACTTTAAGTTTCCATATTTTATAATCATTCTCCTGTGCAAATGCACGCGCTCTGGCTGCACTGAGGTCCTTGCTTGGGGCTCAGCAATACTGTCACCCCTTCAGTCCTCTTCTTGGTGGCAATATTGATGCCAAGATGAGTGTACAGGAGGAGCAGTGGTGGTGTCTCTCCCTACTTCCCATCCAGAAGGGAAGCCAAAGATATAGGTCTCTGGAAAACCTGCTGGGGTTGGAGGGAAGAACAGTGCTGGCGGTGACCCTCCTTGTGCACCCCGGGCCTGGACTCGGGCAGCCAGGGCAGCAGGTCGGCTCTGCCTCTCGAGACCTCGAGCTGCGGTCTTGGGAAGATTAGAGACAAGGAATGGGGCTGTGGCCAAGCGCCGGAAGGAGGGAAGTGAAAATTCTGGGGCATAGCGGGTCTGCATCTCGGCCTCCGCTACCCAGCAATGTTAAGGTGACTTCGGGTCACGAGACAAGCTGGTTGCAAAGCTCCTCTCTTTTGGCAAGCAGTGCGAGCTCCGATGTGAGGCAAGCCGGAGGTTCCTAAGGCTGGAAAACCGTTCTTAACTTCCCTCGCCAGGGGGTCCCCTCGGGGCTTTTTGTGTGTCATAATTGCCTAAAGATATATGGCAGCTTCGATTACTGTAATTACCATCAGAGGCTGTTGAAAGAAGTTAGTCTGGGCTGCAGGGGTGACTGGCCAGGGTCTTGTTACCACCCAGGCAGCGCTCCGGGTGACTTCGCTCTGCCCTCCAGCCACGCAAAGACCAGCAAGGTGAGAGAAGAGAAGTCGCTGCCTGACTGTCCTGACCTGGGCCACTGTGCACACCAAACCCTTCAGTTGCCCCAAGCCTGAGGGCTGAAGGTTTCAGCTGGCTGCCTCTCGGATCAAAGGGCTCAGGGATGCAGCAGCACTGTGGGTGGGGGCTGCCTTGGGGGCCTGAGACAGCAGCACCGCCCAACCTGAGCTGGGCCTGAAGCCTCCTAGGCCTGACGCAGACTGGCAAATTGGGAAGCTCTAAAGTTTCCTTGCTGGGCTCAATCTGCAACCTCAACCAACCTCCTGCGTCCTGGCCCCCAGAGTTCGGGAGCAACCCCAGGTGAGATGGCTTTCCTGCCTGCCCCTTCTTGTGCCTCAACACCTTACCAGCCCCCAGGGTGACTGGTACCCCCAAGAGGTAAAAAGAGCCCAAGGCTGCTTCCTCCGGTGCCTGAGGCTGAGGACGTCTGGGTGAGTGAGCTAGGAGGCCTGCCCAAGCCTGTGTGCTAGGTTTTGGCAGTGGATACTTGGAATGCAGCTGCAAAGGCTCCCTTTTGAGCCTCTTGGGAAGGATACTCACCCCAGGAACACAGGAGACAGAAAGCAAATCCGCCTCACTTCCCCAAGATCAAACAGCTAGGGCCAGGGTAGGCCAGAGGCCAGCGCAAAACTCCAGTCCTACGCCAGTGTCAGCTGTGCATTGGCACTGCAGTTAAGGGTCCTTCTCCCCTCTCTTTAGCTTAGCTCTAAACATTTCTTCTCTTTCTCTTTTTGTTTGCAGTCACATTGCTGAAATTTTAATATGTCAGCATCAAACCAAACCAAAACAAACGGACAAAGCGAAAACACAGCCTACTTCTCTTGGGGGTGGGAGGTGGGGTCGGGAATGGCACCCCTTTAGAGTGGGACTTCATTCGCAGTCCTCAGAAGTCTCTCGGACTCTCCTAACTTTCAAAGACTCGGCACAATGAAGACGAGTGAGGGGGGAGGGGGCGGGAAGGAACGCATAGAGCGCCAAAAATCTATCAGCGAAAACAACACAGCCCGCGAGAGATCTCCAGAACTTGGGGACTGCGGCGGTGGCTACCCCCACCCACGGACCGCGGAACCCGCCGCCGCCAAGCCAGGTTAGGCGGGAGCTGGGAGACCCGGTGGAAATGCGGGGACCGCGGCCGCGCCTTCGCAAGGCCAGAGCAGGCCT